ATGTATGACGACGCAGGCAAAAATCTAAATAGCACCTTTGAAACACGCAATCTTTTCAGTCCCCTGGTGGACGAGGATGCCTTGGTGCAGTACTAGGAAGTGACTTAACTTGTTGATGCCATGAAAAGTCAGAAGACCAAGTGGCTTGTCGATGACAAAAATGCTGTACCTGGACTCCTGGTTGGCTGTCAATACAGAGGGATTGCTTCGCTAGGTCGATTAATGCCTGTCTTCTAGTGTTTCTCATCACTCAGATCCACTATTCACGTTTTCCTGAATTGAACATGAGTTCCTGTTAGCCAAAAAATGCGGTACTAGAAATGCCAATTACGTAATAATTCCAGTCTTCAGACGACCTTGTAAAACATATATAACCGGTACGACCATGCTCCTAAGAAAAATCATTTGGCTAACATTTTTCGCAGAATTTTGTACCTCCCAGGAGTGTATGTCCCAATGAGTAAAGAATCTGCTACTCAAAATAGTGCGCAAATTTTGGAGCAGACGGCTAAACAGCCATTTGTAGTTCGATGAACAGATTGAAAGTATGTAAGTTCTCAACAAGTTTGATAATTTATCAGCTGAACTTGGCTTTAGAATACGACTTGCTTTTCAAACAGGTCTGACAAAGAAGCCCTTCAAAGAAATTGAACGGACCGCTGGTTTGACTATAAATTTAATGCAAAAATTATTCACGTAAATACGTCTTCTACAGTGATTGGCGGTTCTAACGAATTAAAGACAAAATCAGTTGCACTCGACCACTATTCGACCAGCATCAATATATGAAACAATTCTATATCTCACTGTGTCGAACTGCAGGCTGAAGGGCGGACAGGTTTGGCCATTCGAGCTCCCATTTGAATTACATGCCGTGCTAAAACTGCATTCTTTGCAGCCATGTTACGACGCAGTTGCAGTTTTTTCTTGTTGTTTGGGTGCAGGAAATGCACACGTATTAGACATGTGTCGGAGAGCCCTGGGTAGAAAAATTAAACAAAAGATTCAGCTGGAGGTTGGTATGAAATTGAAGACTTATCTCATAGACTTTTCTGATTGCAGTTGTTCAGGCATATTCTAAGTCCACCCTGTCATTCTCCTAGGCGGTGGTAAAATTCGGTTGTACACTAACCAATGGGTGTTTAATTTATTTTAGCCATAAATTAAAATAGAATAATTTTATTACGTATTATGTATGTATGAAGATGATGAATCAGGTTGAAATCTAAGCTTTGTTCCGT